CTTTATTTTTAGTTCTGTAAAGTTCACACAATGTGTCTGATATTTGTGGAACTGCCTAAAGTTGCTGAAAGTAATATAAAGTTCTTTACTTGTTCTTTAAAATTTTTAAACATACCTGAAGCAATCTAAACTTCCCAGAAGTTGCTGAATTTTACTGAAGTTTATAAAATCTCCCTGAAGTTTTTGGAACTTCCCCAAAATTCTCGTATTTTCTGAAGATCTTGGAATATCCTTAAAGATTTCGAAATTTCTCTGAAAGCTGTTTGCATTGTGTTTTTACAGGTAATTTGAGCAGGGTCAATACAGATTTTTTTTTTCATTAAATTTTGTGAAATTTTGTCAAACGTTTGTTTTTATCACGATGGTGATAGTGAAAACTTGCAAGGAATTGCAGTAAAAAGAAACGGTAACCAATGAGCTACCGAGCCACGCCAAAAATATGCTTACATCTTCAAACACAGCATACTTCGATCGATGCAAACTGACCGTTAATCGAATGCTGGATTACAACCTTTACATAAGGCCAAAAATATGCTAATACAGGTAAAAAAGGCTTATTCAGTTGTTAGCATGTTTCCTGGGTAGCCAGTCGCTAGGAAATATATGCCTATATATATTAAAGCCAATCTTTCCACGATTGCACTATCCCGCTAAAAATAAATTACCCAAGCTTGGGTAATCGATTAGCTGTAAGTTCCAAGAACCAATCATAAGACTTCAATAAAGCTATGCAGATTAGAGGAGTACGATGATTAAATTCTACTGTTCTAAGCACCGTCGTATGTACCTACGTGTGCAGAATTTCACACCCATAGATGGCAGATCAAACTGTGTGTGCCCCCATTAACCGAGCCGAAGCAAGAGCAATCGTCAAACGATGGTGGCTGTCTGTCGGGCTGCCCGGTCATATATGGCACACAGACTCATAATTGCAAATATTGGAACTTTCAATTAGTGCGAACGGCACGTCGTTGTCCTCCAGTAAACTTCAAGAACGCCATCATCAACCGGTTGGTCATCAATTTCAATTATTATTGTCCGCTTGCTGGACTTTTTAGTACCTCCTTGGCTTCGTTAGCATGCATGTATGTCGCAGTTGTCGTCTTTCAGTTGGGTGTCAATTCTGCATCTTAGTATGTGCAGTAGGGTGGTTCAAATATTGATTTTGCTCCACCAAGTTCAATCGGTTTTCAAATCAGGAGCTTTGAGCTCATGGGAATGCGAACTCATACTGCACTGGTCATTTGAAGTATATATGTGAATTACTATGGGAAAACAAAAACTTTTTGTTCTCATCGATCTAGCCCTTCGCCGTATTGATTTGCGGAAAAGTTGACTGTCTGTAGTTAAGTGAAATTTCCCAGCTACAACTAAAAAAGAATAGGGCGAAACATCATGGCTACACTCTATTTCAAAACTGTCCAAGTTTGTGTGGAATCCACCCAGATCGCTGAAAAATGAAATCAAAAATCTAACTTCTTTGTTTGTAGAAATTAGGGTATACATTTTTCGGCAAAGTTATAACTGACCCTCCCCATGGACATGGAGGTTGACGGTACTGAAACAAAGGGTTATGTTTAATTTCTTTATATTTGCAACGATGATGATTTCTTATAGTGACACATATCACCTTTTTAATGCTTCAGTATGCCTCAAACGATTAATTCTTGGTTGTTAATAGAACTTCCTTGATCAAATCGGCTGCTTCATGCAGACTGAGCAATTCTGATTATAGTATAAGATTTGTTCTGTATACAGAGGAACTGGGAGAGCTTATAAGAAACTTCTCACCAATAAAGTAATGATCCTTTAGTAAATTTTGCATTTAATTTCATTAATATTTTATTTTATTTAAGCATATTATTTGTATTACAGTCAATTAGCATTAGCATACGATACAAGAGATTTAATATTACTTGCTCGTTTTTGCGAAAATAAACAATATTTATTTTACTTGTAATTACCTTTGAACGTTTTTTCATGTTTTTTTTTGTGATCTGAAAATTCTCCCAGCTTGGTTAGAAGTTTCGAAGCTAACGCATGTCCACATGCCTAATAGAAAGATAGGCAGAAAAAGTGTATCATGAAGAATGGTTGCATGCAGGGTTGCTTTCACTCACTTGCTATAGATGAGTGATTTTCGGAGTTTTGAATTCGTTAGATGTTGTAAAGGAGATTTGTGTTGTTGGATGCGGGAGGATATGGAGGGCGGATCGAGCCTTTTGCTTTCAGAGTGTCGCAGTCAGCGGTTTTATGATTCGTGAGCGCTCGCGACTCGTAGAATCGTTGATTGTGACTACAAGTGGATCTTGTGTGTCGGACGCTTGCTTTTTGGCCTCTTCTTGTGTCTAACATGTGCAGAGTATCATTATAGCGTCTAATGGTTCTGAGATTGAGCGTCTAATGGTTTTGAGATTGAGGTTTTGAAATATATTTGTGAGAATATCTTTTTGAGATTTTAGTAGTCACGTTTTGTTTGTAGTTTATATTTTATTTCTTTCATATAATTATCGTAAATAATAGTTATTCAATAATAGATCGTTCATCCATTTATTCGTACTTTGACGCGAAGCGCTGCGGATTTTGAGATGCTCGATTACCCTGGAGGGATCGATTTTGCTTACTGAGCAGAAAATCATGGATTTAATCCCAAGCTCTTCCACAGCACAATAAATCGCCACCATCATTTGTATATTTGATATTGAACATTAACCGCGGAAACTATTTGCATATCAAGCGAAAACGTAGTCCTGTATTGTCGCGAAGTGTTATGGTTCTGAGATGCTCGATGACCCTGGAGGGATCGTTTTTGCTTACTGAGCAGAAAATCATGGGTTTAATCCCAAGCTCTCCGTCATAACTCTTAAAATTCATTATCACTAAACAAAATGAACATGTTCTTTCGATAGCCGGCTATCGAGAGATCAAATAAACAACAAATAAACAATACATACTTTTGGTTGCATCGCCAACTTGAGGTGAATCCTAACCAAATACCCTACCCAACCTTAAAACTCCGTAGCACTTATGAGGGTGACCTCTCGTTAAGTAAGTACTACATCAACATTTCCTTCCCTATCCCTAGTTATGGTAAAGATGGGCGTGGCCGGGAATAGCGACAGTCATGCTTATGTTACTCTTATTTAGATTGGAACCAATGTTTATTCCCCAGCATTATTCCTGAAAGTAGTCTAACTGAGAATTTCAGAAGAGACGTGAGAGTCGTTAGTATCCAATCTACGAAGTACATATATCATAACAACGCTAATGCTAACGCTAACGCTAGTCCACCCAGATTGCTGAAAAATTAACCTACCGAAAATAGGTAAACTACACTACAGTAAGGTTTTACTGTATAAAATCTGAGAAAAATTAAAAAATGATAAAACATATACTTGTATAGAGCAAGTTCTGTTAACCCCATTTAATGATAGAAAATAAAATCTGCCGATTTAATTGGCAAATCGAAGTTGGCACTTATGGAGAAGAACTATGAAAGTGATGATGGTTTCAAAATTTTCCACGGGGAGGTATACGAGTGCAATCTTAAAATGCTTTTATTTAGCAAATGGAGCATTTTATTTAAATCTGGTTTCTGCTACAGTGGTAGAAAAGCTGAAATCTATGTCTACACATAAAAATCTGAAAAGAAATTATTTTTTCTATATTATATGCCTTTTGAGTAGTCCTTAAGTTTTCTACTAACGTAACATTAACCAGATTTAAATAAAATGCTCAATTTGCAAAATAATAGCATTTTAAGATTGCACTCGTATACCTAACAGTGTAAAATTTTGAAACCATCATCACTCTCATAGTTCTTCTATTCTCCACGAGTTTCAACTTTGATTTGCCAATTGATTACCTACGGATAACCGTCATTTGTATTTTTACCGATTTTTTCAGCAATTCAAAATCCCCCGCTTTATTGGTCTTTCCTTCAAGCTTCGCAGCGCTTGACTTCGATAGTTTCGTCTTGCATGAAACACATCAACAAAGGTTTCATGACGTAGGGTAAATGTATGTAATGTCGGCCTAAATGTACCTAATTTGGGCCCATACATAAATTCACCAATCGACTAAATTTTCAATAGCGACCAAAAATATCCTTTGGTACCGTTGGCCTATCGATCTAACATTGGGCTCATCGCTAAAAATCTGCTATTGATCAATTGCTGAATTTATGTATGGGCCCAAATTAGGGACACTTAGGCCGACATTACATACATTTCCCCTATGTTTCATTTATCCTCATCCACATATTGATCTATAAAAAAAAGTAACGAAAAGTGAGCGTCGGTGAGAGGGATTGAAAGCCATAAGGAGATTTTGTTCCATCACGATAATCGACGTTACTTTCAAGTAACGACGAGAAAATCTACAGCCAGCCTTTCGTTCTATGCGTGCTTCTTTTTCTTTTTCGTTTCGTGTTGATAGTTAAGCTAGGTGTTATAGAAACGATGCGTTGAACACGTTGTATGAAAGAGACAAAACTCGAGCTCATTTTAGCGCTTCGAAAATGTAGAGCCCTGGTTGGGAGTGAGCAGTTGACAAATAGATAACATCGACATGGATCCGGTTGATGTTGTTCATTTGTCACTCACAACATAGTTGACCCATTTTTGGGTAGGTTCAGTTTGGACCAATCTGAGTCGATTGTACCAAAATTTGGGTAGTTTTGAAATATGCCCTGATAGCAGCCGATTTAGAAAGTTATCGACTTCAAAATCAACTAACATCTAATTACCTTGAAATCCAATGTAAAGTGGTTTTCAGCAGGTTGTTGCTGATAAAATTTCACATAGGGGAAACAGCCCTATTGTTGCGGTACGTTAGCAGCGATAGAAGTCTATTGTTGTGTATGGAGAACTCCATACACAACAATAAGCTTCTAACGCTGCTAACGTACCGCAACAATTAGGGCTGTTTCCCCTACGAACAAATAGAAAACTTTTCCAAAAATTATTATGGCGAAGAGCTAAGACGATGAAAACAAAAAGTCCACTTTTCCTATAGTAATTCATATACAAACTTCAAAGGTCCAGTGCATGAACTGGCATCCAAATAAGCTCAAATTTTGGTAGGAAAGTCAGGACCTTATATGAAACCGATTGAGCTGGGTTGTGCAAAATCGATATTTTGAACTACCCTAATGCGCTTCTTATATAGACACTAGTTGAATGATTGTAACCGATTATATTCGGATCTTGTTGTCGATTTCGGTACGCGCTAGTTTACAGTCAACATCGAATACTTTCAGATTGGATCTAATCTGTTCTGATTAAAGAGATGCGAAGTCCGGTAAGAAAAACATTCCGAAGAGCAGCATACTTCAAAGAGCGATCCATCCCCGTCGAAGAGGTTAATCAAATTATCACAAGGTGAGTCAGACATACTAAAAGCTTTATTTTTTAAAAGAATAGTTAAGAATCAATGTTCTGTGGTCAATGTGGATAATAACGGTAAAGATGCGCGATTCCCGCCAATTGAATTCCCTCGAGTGCTATTGGCACGACCAGCCGTTATTTATCAGCACGTCAATAATAACAAATCACTTGTGGGTGGGCTATCTAGACGCTTGATGCTTTGCACGCTCATTGGGATAATGTCAAACATACGTATCGTGATAAAAGTCCACCCTCTTCACTGGGGCAGTAATTCCATTAGCGAAATAATTGACTTCATTCCGGTGATAAACACTAACACACCACAACGAGTTGATGTTTCTTTACGGGTTTGTTTTTTTTTTCCTGAAGACTATACACTTAGGATAAACTGACGGCATCGGCAATATTCTTACCTATATCGTCAGTCCTTGGGCGCTCATTTTTCATGAGGATACATCATGCTTCAGGACTATTGGTAATAGATATAATGGGAAAAGGTATTTCCAAAACGTTGGTTAATCACATGTCAAACTTATAGGTTTGGATGAAATCCAAAAAATACTAAACTAGCATTTGTAACACATTACCAAAATTATAATTTAACTCATTACTCGCTGAATTGTAGTTTCCGATCAACATTCGATCTTTCTTTTGAAATGTCTCCATACATATATTTAAAAAATATGTTCATTATTGTGATCTGTATCAATGGATTAATTTAAGCTGTCAGATTTAATCTCACCACTACTGGCAGCATGGCACTCCCTTCTTATGAGCAAAAAGTTATAAGAAATATGTATAGAGATTTGATTGTTTTCCATTTGGTAGCCCAGTTCGGTAAAAATAAAACCTACCACTTCTACGAAATATTTTATTCGATAAAGGATCTATTTTTTTTTTAAGCTACCATTTCCGGTTTTCTGCATACCAAATAAAACGCCGCTAATCTAGAGCAGTTTATGCAAAAACCATTTTTTTTTAGATTTATCATGAAAAATTGAGCAAATTTTATCTGAACTGAGCTTTGGGAAAATTCATGTCCTCACGTGGCTACCACATAAAGTAAAAAGCCATCCTCGGTAGGCAATAGATTGCTGAACGGAAGAAAAACTTTTCCAGCAAGCGACCTCCGCTTAAGGTTCAATTTACTTTGATGCATTTTCGAAAAAAAATAAATGCAGTTTTTTTCGACACATCATTTCGGATTGCAAAAAGCTCGAGTTATTCTATTCTTTTTGCTGTTTTACACAAAATGACACGAGCTTTTTGCAATATGAAATGATGCGTCGAAAAAACTGTGACTAACATTAACCACATGCTCGAATCGATTCACTATACCTTTCAACATAGGAATATTATCAATTCTAATAAATAGCGAACTTTGACAAGAACGGTTACAATGGACTACATCCCGTGACTTACACTATCCACACTTTTTTATTTAAGCAACCATTGGCAGTTTTCAAAGTTATTATTAATTCTCAATTCAAGAGTTTTTGGTTAGAATGAGACAAAATATGTTATTTTCTTTGTCTGCAGAGTGTTAAAGTTAGTAAGTTGATTTCCTTAACTTTCTTCTGTATAATTTACTGCACAGGTTTGGTATTATGACAGTTAACATAATGTTATGTCAAATTTATCCTAACTGATGTTGAGTACTTGTAACAAAACAGTAGAGTAAAGTGACAGATCTTTTAACACTCCGAACACGATTCCTGCGGTAAAATGTGTTACGGAAAACTTGTAATGTTTGAAAAATCATCACCAATCATCACCAATAGATAGGTTCCATTATCAATCGATTTAAAATCGATTGATAAAATGCTTAGCAATGATTGAGGGGTACCATAAACTTATTACGTAAGATTTTTCGTGGGATTTTTAAATCCCAGCTCTCCCTTAGTTCTAGTATTAGACCCTAAGCGGCACCGGTGGTGTAGTGGTAAGCGTGATTGTCTCTCACCCCAATTGGCCTGGGTTCAATCACAGTCGGCACCGCCGGGATGTTCTGAGGCATAGAATCTCTGGTCAAGCCTTCATTCGGAAGGGAAATAAAACCGTTGGTTCCCGGTTCATGAGTTGATGTGTCGATAGGTAGGGTCCAGCTGTCTTCCTGGCGTCGGTAGCATTGGTACTCAGTACGGAAAAAACCCGAATTTATCCACCTATGGTGTGATCAGACCCTTCTTACTTATTCAAGTTTATTTATTTTATTGTCATTATCAGTGACCAAGCCCCCCACCCCCGTGTCATCCAGTGACGCTACGCCACTGCCTGGGGGTACCCGGAATATATCCGGGTGTAGTCTATTTGGTGAGGCTACCAATCACCTTATCATCGTATTTTAATGTGATTTAATGGGTTTTAATTCAATTCATATTCAAGCAACTTCTCCGGGGTACCCGGAACATGTCCAAGTGTGTCCAATGTGGTCTGGAACACTTAACACGACTTGCATTGATCTTATTTTTGAATTCTGAAGTAATTTGATGTGTCGCATGATGGTTTTGATACGTTTTCCGTTAAATCCAGCGTGAAGGCCAATATTCACCGGATCTTATTCCGGCCATATCTTCGGAACCGGTTCACCGATTCCAAAAACGTTCAATAGCGTTCAATGGGACCCCAAGACCTATCATTTGGCGCCGAGTTTGTCCAAATTGGTTGAGCGGTTGCTGATAAACGTGAGCGAATTCATTTCGTTACATACACACACACATACACACATACACACGTACACACACACACAGACATGTTCCGATCTCGTCGAGCTGAGTCGAATGGTATATGACACTCGGCCCTCCGGGCCTCGGATCGATAGTCGGTTTTTCAAGTGATATCTATACCCTTCTTTGTAAGAAGGGTAAAAAGATCAACGGAAAAAAAAATCAATCCGATGCGTGCTCTCTTGCCGTGCGGATCTATTTGATTGTTTTTCTGAAGGAAGTGTTACCTAAAGCTACAACAAATTTAAACAGCACTTTTCAGATCTCAATATACCTGTAAATTTTCTACCTTGTTCGACTCTTATTCCTCTTCGATCCTTGTTTGGACCCTACTCGAGGTAATTTGGAAGGATTTGGAAAATTCCTCTTCAATCCTTCAAATGCTTATAGTAATCTGCTTGGAAGTTGATTTGGATAAAAGTTTTACCAACAATCAATACGAAACTATCGATTTTAAATTGGCTCACTACTTGACTAGCCTATTGGTCCCAAGCAAATCGATTAACGTACCCCATTATAGTCGAAATTCTAGTACTACACAATGTTTGTTTTGATTCGCTATGAAAGTTTGACAGATAAAATGAGGGGTTAGTGGATTTTCCTATGTTTCGAGGGGTGAATCGATTAGCTTGGGACCGAAGATAGTACCAGAGCTGAGCCAAAAAGTTGAGCACGTTTCTTCGGGACCTACTAGTCTTAGAGTTTCCTCTATGGTTTTACTGCCGCCATGGCGCCTAAGCTCAAAAGAAAGGGGCAATCTCTTGATCTCCCTTTCTGAAGGAATAAATTTGAGCAATCAATTTGATTTGCTCACGGTTGATGAGAATGATCCATCATCCAGGTAAAATTCCACTAAACTATCCCAGCTTAATGCCAAGACGGAAAAGATTCCCCCTATTGTGATAACCACTTCCGATTTCCATGCTCTTCGCATGGAACTTTTGATCTTCGTGAAAGTTAAGTTTTCACTACAAATTGGACGTCGGTGTGAATGCCGTGTATTGGCTGAAACCTTGGACGGATTTAAATGTCTTCTCAAGTATCTTACTAAGAAGCAGCACAAACTATTGTGCCACTCCAAGTAATCAAAATGAAAATGAAATCCCGTCCTGGCGATTCGCGCAACGGGATTTCTAATGATTTTTATTTAGTTCACTTCAAGTCTAGTGAACTAAACAACCTTAAGGCCTTAGAAAAAGCTAGCCTTATGCTCCATGTCCGAGTGAAGTGAGAACACTGCAGGAAGACTGGAGGAAATTTTCAAATATCTCACCCAGTGCCGTAAGTGCCAGGGATGGGGTCATGGAACTAAAAATTGCTACATGCCAGCTAAATGCATGAATGGTGGTGATTCTTCTCACGCAAAGGAAGACTGTCCTGTGAAGAAAGATGCTTAGAAATTAAATGTTCAAATTGTGGTGAAAACCACATATCCACGCAGCATAGCGATCCTACAATATCGTTCTAAGCAACAGACAGGAAACGCTCCACGTTTCCGACCAGGTACAAATTCCTCTGCTGTTAACAACGGTCAGCGAGCAACAAATTCTACATTTGTACCCGTATTACAAATATCACCCCTGCTTCAAATTCTTCATCTATACCTACTTCCCTCGCTGCTAACAATGTTCTGCGAGTAAATGGAGCTACCTATTCTGCTATTGCAGCGGGTATAAATCAAAATAGTAACCAACGTAATTCTAAAGGAAATTTGGAAAATTTTGACTTAGGACGCATTACTGCTCCTAAACAAGCCTTTGAAATTCTGCAATGGATTTTAAATCATTAAATATTTTAAATTGGATGCTCGATCTCTTAAAGATAATGAAGACGAGCTATTTAACTTTTTGAGAGTTCATAACGTGCATATTGCCGTTATAACTGAAACGTTCCTTAAACCTGACCATAAGGTTAAGAAGGACTCAAATTACTTAATTTATAGAAATGATCGTCTTGATGGATCCTGTGGTGGCGTTGCTATCATTGTTCATAGACGAATCAAACATAAAATTCTTTCTTCATGTGAAACCAAAGTTTTTGAAACTTTGGGAGTTTCTGTTAAAACAAAATTTGGACAACTTACGTTTATAGCTGCCTATTTGCCATTCCAATGCGTAGGCCAGCAAAAGAATTTTCTCAAGGGTGACCTTCAGAAACTTACCCGTCATAGGTCTAAATTCTTTATTATTGGTGATTTTAATGCAAAACACCGCTGATGGAATAATGCTCAAAGCAATTCCAATGGTAATATTCTGTTTGATGATTATT